TGCTTTAGTGGGATATGCAGATGCAGGTTATCTATCTGACCCACATAAAACTAAATCGCAAACAGATAATGTATTTACACGTGGAAGAACAATTATATCATGGAGATTTGTGAAATAATTATTGACAGCTATATCCTCAAATTATTCTGAAATTATTGCAATCTATGAAGCAGGTAGAGAATGTGTATGGTTGATAAACATAATCCATCATATCCAAGCATCATGCGAATTAACCTCAACAGAGGATAGTTCAACAATTTTGTACAAAAATAATGCAACTTGTATTGCACAGCTCAGAGGAGGCTATATCAAAAGTGACAGGACGAAACATATTTCTTCAAAATTCTTTTATACACACGAGTTTCAAAAGAATGGCAACATTGATATCCAACAAATTCGCTCAAGTGACAATGTAGCCGATTTATTCACAAAAGTACTACTAACATCTATATTCAAGAAATTAGTTCATGAGATTGGAATGCATCGATTCAAAGATTTTCAATGATCAACATCAAGAGGAGTAGTTGTACTCTTTTTCCTTCGTTTAGGTTTTGTCCCACTGAATTTTCCTAACAATGTTTTAATGAAGCAGCATTTATTTTTAGTACTTCAAAATAACTTTATTCTTTTTCTTTCATTTTATTTTTTCCCATTGGGTTTTTATCAAACAAGGTTTTATCAAGGCATATATTTTGTAATGTGTTATTCAAGGGGGAGTGTTGTAAAGGGAAAGTTTATTAGGGTTTAGAGGTGAATGACAATTACACCCCTGCAGTCCTAAAAATAATTACTGTTATATCTCTGATTCTGTCCTATAAATACAAAATTTTGGTTCTTAATAAAACACATAAGTTTATTGACTTCTCTCTATTCTGTTTTTTTTTCTTCACTTTTATAACAATATACACATTTTACAAAAATCCATTCTAAAAAATTATACATCAAACGTGCTCTCGATTTCACTTTAGCCATATTCCAACTATGTCACATTCAATTTCATAACATCTTAATCTTTTCCGGACAAGAACTAAATTGCACCTTAGATATGTTTCAGCTGTGTCGATTCAAAATTTTCTAACAAATTTTTAAACTTTTACGAACAAGCACTAAATTTCACTTTAGATATGTTCCAGCTATGTCACATTCAATCTCGGGTTATGCTACATGTGCAAGGAAATACATGGCCTGGGAGACAGTTTTTTTGTTCCAGCCAATGCCAGGAAGACAAGGCACTTGTACAGGGCAAAATTAATCCATTTTCTAACAACCCACCTCGACCCCTCCCCCAGAAAAACACGCCAAAACCAAACTTCTCTCCTGTAAAACCTGTATTTATAGCAATCTTTCCATTGTATTCTGAACAGAAAATTAAATATCAGATCTCAAACCCAATTTCCCTTCTTTTACGATCACTTTTTGGCTAATTGTCTACCCTTTCCTAGTGTGAATGGAGATAAACAAACCATTTCTTGTAGTTTTATTAATACAATTCCTGTATACTGGCTATTTATTGCTTTCCAAGGTTGCTTTTGATGTTGGCATGAACACTTACGTTTTTGTCTTCTACAGACAAGCTGCTGCAACAGTTTTCTTAGCCCCCACTGCCATGTTTTTCCATTGGTACTAGCTTATTTTTTAAAGAGCTTCTTCATGTTTAGAATAGATTCATTTTCTATTGAAGACCCTGTACATGCATAATTATTACAATATGTAGCAGATACTTATAAAGCTTTGCCTTCTACAATTAGCTATTGTACCACCTCATTTCAATACTTGAGGGGGTTCTCTATATATTTCTCTGCTAGATCTATTTTTACAACTTATAAGAATCGATATTTCTTGTTTTGGGATTCTAGGAAAACTGCCCCACCACTGTCATTCATCATTTTCATCAAGATTTTCATGCTCTCGCTTTGTGGGTACGTCAAGTTTTAAATAATTTTCTGGGCAACACAAGCTTTTATTTAATACTATTGCGTCGTGTATATTGAACATTACATGAAGCATGAAGTAATTTTATTTAATTATCAAAAGTTTGGTTGGTCTAACTACAGGATAACTATGAGCTTGGATATTTTTGGTGTGGCTTTGAAATATACAACACCTTCTTTGGCTGCTGCGACATCTAACACACTTCCAGCTATTACTTTCTTCCTTGCAGTTTTATTCAGGTAATCAAGATTAGGGCTTATCTATTAATTTATTCGATCCAACTTTCTTTTGTTTCATTTTAAGAATTCGAACAGGGTTGACCAATATGATAATATTAAAATATTCTCCATCCATACTATACATCCTATTTTTCCCATTCATTTTATGTCAAGATCAATAGTTTACTGCCCTCTTTATGTATTTTCTTAATTAGTGTATATTAACATTTTATTATTGGGTAATAACATAAAGTTTCTTTTCGTCTTAGATCATAATATAATTCTGGAAAACTGGGAGAATCTTATGGGTAATATATTTTGAAATTTGGACTGACTGTAGGTAGAAGACAGATAGAAATTATTTATAAAAATATATGTTTAATAAAGAATTAACCATGAAGTGCCATGTGGTAGTAGTTTAAAAAAATCTGGGAGAATCTTATGATTAAGTGAAATACTCTCGAAATTTGGACCAACTGTACGTATATATAATATATACTGAAATTAATCGATAAAATATTTTTTAGTAAAAAAATAGCCATAAAGTGTCATGTGGAGGTGGTTGTATTGATTATTTACTATGAATAAATCATTATTTTGAATGGGCATATACTTTTATGATGTTAAAAAAAATAAAACACTAGAAGAATATCTTCAACAGATCCCAACCTTTCTCCTAGTAATTAATGAAAGATAGATCTGACTGGTATGTAAAGTGCAAAATGAACATTTTCTTATGGTATTTCATACAAATGCATTCATGTGTTCAACTATTAATTTGATCCAAAAGTTTAAGTTATGGATAGAAGATAAATTATTTATTTAATTATATTTCACCTATGAGCATGTTTTAGATATGTGCACAATTTTCATAAATTAATGACTTTGAAGTCAGTAATTTTATCCACTTTAATATTACTAGTCAAAATTTAATGTGCATTGCACGTTATTCTAAAATTCTATATAAGTGATGTAAAAATAATATTTGATATCAATTTATTGGAGGATTTGACGAGTCTTGGACGAATTAAAGAAAATAAAATTTAGTATAGAAATTTAAGAGAAGAAAATTGTACTCCAATTGAACTCTCAAAACTCAATTTCTATGATTCAAAGTTTTTATAACGATGAAGTACTATAAATGAGCAATTTCTTTATATTACATTTGATACAAAATAATTAATTGTTAATACATAAATTTAAACACCCATTAAAATTTTCATATACATAAATATGAATAAATTTATCTATAATAACTCTAAATTCATGTAATTCAAGATTCATCAAATGAAAATTCATTGAATTTAGATTAATTTTAATGTTAATTAAATTAGAATTAATGACACAAATTTTATAAATGATAATAATTTTGTAGTAATTATTACATATCGAAAAATAAAAAATATATACACACTAAAAGTCAACGTGCACTAGTTATGCATTTTCAATCACAACTTTAAAATGAGAAATAAGTAAATAAATTATTTGCAAATATATTATTGGTTCTTTTTCATGGAATTCACTCCGCAATATGTTATTTCAACTTTGTCCACACAGTGCAAGACCTAAGAAAGCTAGGGGTTTCGGAGGAGAAATATTTCAGTAGGACGGTCGCATCGTCCACGTGGTGCGATCGTCCTATAAGGAAGGGCCACCTCGATGGGTGGCCCACCACACACCCCAAGGTGTGTGAGCCACCGTCGAGGTGGCGTCTCGGCATTGGGCGGTCGCACCATGTCATTTTTTATAATGTTGGAATGGTATTTTAGGTTTTATAATTATAGTCGAACGGCTTCTATTCGTTTTTTCTATTTAAACTTATACAAAACCAGGAAAGGTCCCAGTCAAATTTTCATATTTAGGATGTTAATTCAATTAAAATCAAACATTAATTTCAACTATATTTCAATATTTTTGGATAAGAATAATGTTATCTAGCACAACGGTGTTAGAACACTAATTTAAGTTACATTATGTGAAAATTAAATAATTCATTTAATTGTATTTCTTATTTAATGTCACACTCACTACCTAGAGATATTTTGACACCAGTAATACTAAATAGCATTATTCTTTGAAGATTAAGAAGAAATGCACAAAAACAATATAAAATTTCTTTAAAAACCTCTAACATTACCTACCCTAACCTCCTTAATTTATGATTGTTTGCAGGTTAGTTATATTAATGATTACTAAAATCTTGAGTAATTGAATCAATGATCACTGAATTTTTTTTTCTTATGATATATAGTCACTCAAATTCCTAATAGTCACTTGATGAAAACATTAATGTTAGATTCAACGTGATGCTATTAAGTGTCAATATATTACCAAACAACGTCATTTATTATGCAAAGTTAGCAAAATTCATTGTTAAAAAGATACATGAGTTCATCCTACGAATTAAGTTCCAAAAATTTTACCAAACCTAAAGTATATTACATCATAGAAATATGTTTAACCCCCATTTCCTAATTCTCCAATTTTGCTAATGTAATACATAATATCATTTGATAACATATTAACACTTAACAACCCCATATATTGAGAATAAATCAGAATTCTGGTGGAGAATAGACCCTCAGCTTTTGCAACTGGGACTTTCACTTAACAGTGACTTTATAACCAAGTGATTGTTAGTATAACATTTAGAAGCTTGAATAATTAATATCATAAGAAAATTATTTCAATAATCATTAGCGTTGCTCTAAACTTCAGTATTCATTGTCGTGATTTATTCTTTATGTTTATACTTTCCAACCTTCATATTTTGCATCGAAAAGACTATAACATAAAATATTAGTTTATTTCTCTTTTTACTTCAACACTTTGGTTCTTCGACATTTAGTCCTTGTTCGGTAAATTTATTTTTTGCTAAATGAGTGGTCAAATTGGTTAAATTTAATTTTCAACCATAACTTTCATCCATTTTTTAACTCTACATTTCATGTAACCCACCTATTTTTATCCACTTGATTTACTAAAACTCTATATCAAACAAACTCTTAAAAAATTTCACAATTTATACATGTGCAGTGATATCTTAAAACAAAAATGATTATCATAGGCAGATATATATTTCTTAACATGTTCATAATAGCTCATAATCTACTGCAAAATCTTCAACACAGTTGGCCCAATTATTATTATTATTTTCCTTAATCTCTACTGATTTTGTAATATAGGTAGTTTCAAAGTATTTTCCTTAGCATGTTCAACGCTATCCTATGCAATCCTCTCATTTATATGCGCACAAACATTAAAATATTTCCTTAAACTCCTCGAACAGCTACTAGTACCCACCAAACCTCCTTAATATATGTTTTTTTTATTTCACATATTCCCACCCATGTCATAGCCTCATTTTGCGTTCAATATAACGTTTTAATTTCTCTTTTTACTTTAATACCATTTAATGTTATCCTATGTAACCCTCTCATTTTATGGTGGAAGAAATATAATCAGATTAGAATAATACACAATGTTACAATATATAAGATTTTAATTATTCACAAAAATAGTTGGGGAGTTTTATGTCTTTTCACAATAAGTTTTTAACTAATTAAACTAGATATTAATTAACAGGTTGGAAAAAGTGAAGCTGAGGACAAGCCCTGGAATTATGAAAGTTTCAGGAGTAGCACTGTGTTTGGGAGGAGCAGCAACCATT